GGGGGGGTCTTACCCAGCTGGTCCTCACAGACAGCGGTGACGGTGCCGTACAGCTCCAGGCCGGACAGAGACAGGTAGTGGGTCTGACCACTGGCGTTCTTCCCCATCTGTTTGATCCGGATGTGTCTCCAGCCCTGCTTCTCCTCTTTGGACGGGTCCAAAGGCCATGTGGCCGTCGACCTGAGACAGACAATAAATAATTTGGTCCAGATTGTATTGATCACTACAGCTGTTTAACTGATCACTTTATTGGGACATAGAGGAACGTCGTACCCCGGTTCGTTGAGGCTGCAGTCGTCTACGTGGGTGTAGAGAGTCGTCCAATTCTGACCGTCCTTCGACACCTGAAACACCCAGTTCCTCAACGCAGAGCGGCCATAACCCCTGCAGGAGAGGGGGGGAGAAGAGGAGGAGATGTAAAAAAAGTGATCCTAATGAAATGTACTTGTTTCCTGCATGTATTAGGCTGAACTGAAAGTGCGTTTGGTTTATTACCTGGCGTGTCTCAGGGTGTGCGTTCGGTTTATTACCTGGCGTGTCTCAGGGTGTGCGTTCGGTTCATTACCTGGCGTGTCTCAGGGTGTGCGTTCAGTTCATTACCTGGCGTGTCTCAGGGTGTACGCTGAGGGAATGACCCAGAGGCCGAGGTCAACAGCGAACCAGGCGTTCTTGTCGTCGTTGGTGTGGCAGTTGAGGGCGGAGCTATCCCGACTCAGGATGTCCTCCAGACGCCCGTAGGGGAGGTTGCGGCCCTCTGATGATGTCACCACCACAAGGCCATAGGCAGCGGGGTTCACCCACTCATAGGCCGTCCTGAACAGAAAAGAAACGAGGCGTGATTAGATTTAACGTTTTGATTAACTTCCACCCTTAAAAACCAATAACTCAACAGTTTAAATTCTTCATTTAACATCTTTAATAATAAACTGAATGGAGGAAATGTGAAATCCTAAAACATGGGACATTTACCAGGTTAGAATTATTTGGAAATGTACAAAAATAACGTCAAACCAAACTGAATTCTGCCCTGCTCATTACCAACGATAAAGATTGACAGCTTGATGTTCTTACTTGGCGTTGGTTCCGACCCAGTAGATGATTCCGTTCTCGTCAAAGTCGTGTTGGTGTCTGAAGGTGAAGGTCTGTCCTTCCCTCAGCTTCCTCACGAAGACGAAGGACGAACGCTCAAAGTCGTACCACTGCTTCGCCACCTGGAGGATGAAGAAAAGGAGTAAAATGAGTGTTTTGATCTCTAACTAAAGTGTTAAACATCAGAGTTGTGTTTCGGGTTGTCCTCACCATCTTCAGCAGGTACTGCTCCAGAGACTCCACGGTAGCGAGCGGCTCCATCTTCAACATGCGACCCGTCCGGTCGATCAGGGCCGTCTCACCGGGCGCTCGCTCCAGACGGAACCGCAACCTCCTCGTCAAGATCTGACGAGCACAAACACCGTTAAAGTCAAGAGGTTTCTGCCTCAAAGAAGAAGGTAAACCAGGATCCAGACCACACGGTGGCTCACCTGCAGGTTGTATGAGGATCCCGGAGTGTCGTACAGGTGCAGAGGTAGACGTTCTATCGACTCCAGGACCGCTATCAGTTTACGGATTAAGGCAACAGCTGGTCGGCTGCAGACGCACACAAACACAGTTCAACTTGTTTTTGTCTTTTTTATGATTGATGTTATTCTGCACTAAAGACATGTTCTAGTTCAGAGGGTCATGTTGCCTTATTAGACTGATTCAGTCTTTGGTTGACTTCCAGTTGATCTGGTTCCACCTTTTACAGCTGGACAGTTAACATCCTTCATTTATTACTGTCATTTATTCTGGTATCGGAGGGCAGAAGTGTTGGAGTGAAAAGTCGTCACAGAGAGCAGTGAGGCGAGATAATGATTTAGATTTGGAGGTAATGATGAAGGAACTCATGGTGTTTGTATGCAGGAAAGGAGACAGAAACAGTGGTGTAAAAGAAGAAGAAGAAGAAGAAGAAGCTCGAGTTAGTTATTAAACTCTTTACAGTCGGCTGGTGTTTGGTGCCGTTACCTTTCATCGTCTTCATTCTCGCTGAAAGCCGCCTTAAAGACATTGATCCTCTCCATCAAAGGCTTACAATCATGTTTCAGGTCCAGGTCAACGCTCTGCACACAGACGGACAACAGAGATTAACACCCGACATCTTTAAGGACAACGTTCTAATGTTTAAAGAACACTACTCACATTATTGAGGACGGTGAACAGAGCCTGGACCAGCCCGCTGCTGCACATCTCATACGGTGAAATGGTGTTTTCATCCTTCAGCACTACGATCAGGTTCTCCAGAGCCGTCTTCATCAGGTCCCTCCACGTGTTCTCCCCTTCAATGCACTGAGAACACAGAATGGAGACCGTTGAAAGCGATGAGTAAGACGCCCACGTTCACTTCCTGTTTGGGTCTCATCAGTCACAACATGTCCTATGATTGCTCAGCCTTGATTACCGATCGACTACCAGGTTAATTCAACATGGATAACAGATTACAGACGTTACGGTCCTTGTTGTCTTTACTAGCAGCTGTTGTGCAGTTCAATTCTACTTCCAGTTTACACCGGTACCAGCATGGTCATGTGATGTTTGTTTTCAGGAATGTTAGTATGGACGTAGTCATCGTGACGTCACTCATTGGTTTGTGGACGTTTTGAAGCCTTGAGTTCGGCAATTTCACCATCGCCATCTTGAATTATGGCTGTCGCCATGTTGTTTTTTTTATCTCCAGTGAACAGGAAGTGACCATATCTGGACTGAGGAGGAGTAACGTAGAGACGCCGTATACGTCTCTGGTAGAGACCTGTCAATCACTGTGTAGCCCCGCCCTACAGCATCCCCTGCGTTATGGTCTGTTTGACTCTAAATGGACCATAATGTACTAAATGAACAATCTTTTCCTGAACTTAACTTAAGTAGTTTTTGTTGTTTAAAGCTCACTGAGTTGTTTAGACTCATGTAAAGAGTAACAGAGCTCCTGGATCTTAATAATGTACTAAATGAACATCATGCTGTATTGCAGAAGACTTGAAACTAGAGATTGAGACCATAAACTCATGTTTACAATGTTTACTGAGGTAATAAATCAAGCGAGAAGTAGAGTCATTTTCTCATAGACTTCTATACAACCAGAGGAGTCGCCCCCTGGTGGACACTAGAGAGAATGCAGCTTTAAGATGCTGGTGTACCTGTCTGTTGGTGTGCAGCTCCCAGGCCGACTCCAGCTGCGTGGAGATGTTCCTCAGCGTGACCACCACCCCTCGGGGCATGCTCTCCACGGCCTTGAAGTGGTCGTCGTACAGCTCCCTCGCCACGCTCTTCACCTTCTGCTTGGTCTTCTCCAGCTTGGACTTCAGCTTCCGGCCCCTCTTCCCCGTCCAGCCCGTCACAAACTCAGAGCCCAGCGAGGTCTCGGCGGTGAACGAGTGTTTGGTTCCTCGGTTGGACTCGAACACGAAGCCCGGCAGGTCCTCCTTCAGGATGGTGGCCTGCTGCCCGTCTGAGTTGTGGATGGCTATCTCGCCGTCCTTCAGGCAGGTCAGAGACCAGTTACCCACCGTCAGCTTACTGGGACCAACGCTGGACAGGATGGGCTGACTGGACGTCACTGGTTTCACCTGACTCCTCGCACGCTGGAGCTTCTCCAGGAACTCACTGCGAGACTCTGCAGGGAGGACAGAGGACGAGGAGGAGAGGAGGGAAAGAGAAGAGACACCAGAGGAAAAGAGAGGAGGGAAGGGGGAGGAGAGGGAACGAGAGAAGAGGAGGGAGAGAAAAGAGAGGAGGAGGAGGAAAGTAGAGAAGAGAAGACAGGAGGAGTAGAAGAGAGGAGGAAAAGAAAAGAGGATAAGAGAGGAGGGGAGAGAGAGGAATTAGGAGAGGAGAGAAGGAGGAGAAAAGGACAAGAAGAGAGGAGGAGGACAGGAGGAGAGGAGAGGGATGAGGAAATGATGGGGAGGAGAGTTAAGAGGAAGGAGGAGAAATGGAAGAGGAGAAGACATCAGTTGAAGCAACAAAGACCCCAGAGAGCAGTAAGTGAGACCTGATCCGTTGTGCGCCCCTTACCGGAGCTGTCCGACCCTCCCTCTGGACTCCCACTGGAGTACATGGTGGCCAGCTTCCCGTCCAGGATGAACCTGAACCAGCCGTTGGATCCGTTGGAGAGCTCCAGAGCGGCAGCATCGGACCAGATGTAGAGGCAGTCCCTCCCTCTGATGATGGACCAGTCCTTCCAGTGGTACGGCTTACCCTGCTGGATCTCCCTCGCGTCCTCCTGCGCCTCCTCCTCCTGCAGGGAGAGCAACAACGATACAGGTCTTCAGATACGTGGATCCCTAAAACTATGACCGTAAACCGTCAGGTTTTTATTTCCTCTGTTTATGAAAGAAAATTATGAAAAACATGAAAAAAACTATTTAATCTTTGGGACAAAAGTAGTAATGTTTCCACAGGAGCCACCGTTTAAATAGATCAACTTTACAAGCACAGAATAATACAGAAAGAAAGAAGTAAATATCTGTTTCACCAGAAATATGAATGTGTTTGAATACATTTGGGTTGACTTCTTTATATTTAGTTTAGTGGCGAACAGTAAGCATTTGTTTTTATTCACAAATAAAATGTGTTTTTACTTTAGTCACAACTGTCTTTAACTAGACATTTCATAAATACTGTTTATACTTATTAATTATAGTAACGACACGCAAAACATTTTATATTCACTGATTGTCATTTTGTTTTTATACATAAAGAATTGTTTATTTGAGAACATATGTCTCAGGACCCCACATCTCAGCTACTGTGTCAACTTTGTGAATCCAAAAAACACTAAAATTGATTTATGATATTAATATTCACAATCAGTTCATCGTGGAGTCCAGGAGGACGTTTGAAGAAGAAATAGAAGGAAAAAAAGCATAAAAACAAGAGTTATCCTTTAAGTCTGAAGCTTGCTGTTTGACCCAGATACTGTGTTCTCACTCACACACACAGAGAGAGACAGAGACAGAGAGAGACAGACAGAGGGAGAGAGAGAGAGACACACACACACGCACACAGAGAGACGCACACACACACCTTCTCAGGTTTGGCTTCGTCCTCGTTCTCGTCGTCAGACGCCGGTCCAGCCAGAGTGGACACCTTGTTGATGACTCCCAGTCGAGCCAGCTGGTCGAGGAAGACGTCTCCTCCTTTGTCCACCAGGTCTCTGATGATCTGCAGAGCCAGCAGGTGGCCGTCATCGTCGTCCTGAGACACAGAGACACGTTTAGTCAGAAGAACCAGTCCTGACCTCGATGAGAAGAGTTGTCACAGGTGGTTGAAAGATTCAGGAGAAAGAGACAGTAAGCTCAGCTTCACCCTCTGAACCCAAAATAACAGCCGGCCGGATGGAAAAGCATGTTTTCTTTAAACAATGTCTTGTTTTGAGATATACACATATATATATACACATATATATATATACACATACACACATACATACATACACACACACACACATACACACACACACATACATACACACACATACATACACACACACATATATACATACATACATACATACATATATATACATACATATATATACATACATATATATACATACATACACATACATATACATACATACATATACATACATACATATACATACATACACACATATACATACATACA